TGCTCCTAGAGGGCAACCACCCTGCAGAGTTTAGCTTCAATCCACTTGATACTTGAACCAGCTAAGGTCTTCAGGATTCCTAGAAACTGCCAGGCAACTGTGTTGGGGAAGGTTGGAGCTAACTCTGCGGGACATTGGCCCTCCCGGAGCAGGACTGAACACTGCCCTAAACAGAATATACTTTATTCACAAAATTAAACTTAAATTGTACTTTCATGCTTCACAACATATGTAGTTATCATGCATTTTAAGAACAAGACTTGATCTCACCTTTTCTTCATTATTGGGCGCGTCGAGTGCAAGTGGGTTTTCTGTAGGACAGTAATGGGAGTTACCAGATCAGTGGGCGAGGCCATAACGGAAGGGTGTTTTCGACCACGTTACTTACGTTACAGCGACTATTGCATTTAGGGGTGGGGTCAGTTAAAGGTCATCATTTTATGCCATGATTTAGAAACACCTACAAATTTAGAAACTCTGTGTTGTGGGAAAGGTGTCCCCAGCTCAGCAGATGCCACTGTCACGTGTTTGCATTTCCCGGGAAAACACTTCCAAATTTGTGATTTGTTTAAAGGTGCAGAATGTAATTTCTTTGACTGTACTAAAGTATAAAAATACCATAATATGTTTTCATATATTTAGGAAATATGTTCACATAATCTCTTAAAAACAATGCTACAGACAGTTATTCCACTTTGAAATGTGCATTCTGTGTCTGAATGTCTGTTTTTGCTTTGGTCTGTGTGATTCTGGTCACTGGCAATTTACACAATGGTATTTCAACACCCCAAGTTGCCATTTGCGAAAAAAAAAACATTGTATTGCAGCCATGGAGATTACAGATTCAACCTGACCTATAAAGAGCCTCGGCATACAACTAAAAAGTTCTATGCATCTTGAGGCATCTTGAGTAAAACAGCTCCATATTCAACGGAGCATATACAAAACACTTGAACCGGAAGCAACGAGACCTGTTTTACAGAATAGGGAAGTCTGTTGCACATAACCCCCATTGCACTCTTTCCTGTTGCAAGAAAGAAAGAAACTCACCAGTGACTGACATCTGGCCTGTGTCCCAAGCGGTGTTGTGACGCTTTCGAAGAAAGAGAACATACTGTAGCCATGTTGAAGAATTGTTCCAAACCAATTTTTTCTAAAGTTTGCTCCAAAACTGCTGAAGGGATGATCACTTCTGAATGAAATGCACCCATCTCGAACGAAGAACCAATGCCAATTACTTAAATTAAAAAAATTTATTGTTTTGAATGCTAAAATATGATCTCAAAACTGCATGTCTGCTCCAATACTGCTTGTTGCATTTTTCAATTGTACAAAAAAAAAAAAAAACTATACTTTTTGAATCATCTTCAGACCATGCAGACAAAAAGTTATGGAAATCAAGTTAATTTGTCAAACCCTTCTCAAATACCGTCTGAACAATAATATATAGGCTATAAATTATACTATATGGCCTTTTAGGCCTTTATTTTTGGTTGTTGGAGGTACAGTTGCACTATATGTTGGTGCGTCAACCATGAGGCTATCCGCACTGACTTGCTTATAATTTCTGAATAGTTTGGCCAAAAATCACAAGACTAGTCTCTTTAGATTTGGTGCAACACCAAGTTGAACCATACCCAATTTACCCATGTCAGCCATTTTGGGCATTGGCTATTTTATATTTTGACGTAAATTGCAATATTTTACAAATGCATTGGCGTATCTACAAAACTTGGCATGTGTCTACTGCACCGTGCCCTGAAGGTACTCAAAAAGTTTCTTGTAGCCAAAAAATTATAATGAAATAAAAAAAGCTATTATCTTTTGATTAGTTATGCCTGTTGTCATGAAAGTCATCTTTATAGATTCCTTTGGTCACGCCAAGAATGCTGATACCAATTATGCCATAATTGGCCGAACTTTATGTCCACCATTTTGATTTCCTTTGAAAATCTACTTTTTCAAACTCCTTGACTGTTGGTCCAATTTTTATTCAATTCAAATCAGGTCATCTTCAGACCATGCTGACAAAAAGTATAGATTTTATGTCCATTCGACAAATTGGTTCTCATTTACCACATCAACGAATTTGATGGCATGATGTCAAACTGCATCTGAGGCTTTATCTCTGGCAAAGCTTTGACATATTGACACAAAAACTTCGGATGTGCCACCACACCACATCAATTTGATAACTGTGCCACCTATTGGTCAAAAGTGACAAACCATTAAATCATATTACTTGTGATTGTGTTTATGACTTTTTAGCCATTTTGACTAAAATCATCTTTACGTCTTTAATTACTAATGTTTGCAGTTGATCTGTTGGTCATTGCCTTGCTTGCTCACCATTTTGCCTCTGTAGTGCTTGGTCCCTTAATTGCTTCTTGCAACTATATTTATTATTATTATTGTTGTTTTGTATATCAGTGACTCCACTGCTCTGAATCACCATTGAGCAGTTCATCACTCATCAGACGTGGTGGAAATCAATGTGAGAACCAATAATATGGAGAGTAATATCGATTTTGTTTTCCAAAGTAAAGAAAGTTGGAACAACCATTTAAACAAATGGAACCACCAATAAAAGCAAGGTTTCCATGTTTTCACACATCCTTTTATGGCGTATGTATTTTATTCAGTAAACTCCAGTACATAGAAATCATTACACCTACATAAAAAAAAAAAAAAACATTTATCCCTCCACTTTTGGAAAGAAATATGTGCTTTTCAAACTTATACCTTAATGTGCCATTCCCCTCCCCATTTCACATTTTTCCCACACCATTAAAACTACTATGTAAGTTACTGTGCTGTTCCCTCCATTTCAGTATCTTTCTGGAAATGTTGGTGAAGCAGTGGAGTGCAGAAGCATTACCTTTACACAAACACTGTGATAACTGCAAATATGAAACTGCAAATCTTCAAATATTAAAGATTAAAAGTTAGAAACACATGGTAATGCATATAAACCATGCTCACTTAGATTTTTTAAAAGACTAATTATTGGGAATTTATCTCCAATTTAATTTGGATTGTCTGTGTGTGTTACACACTTACACACTTTTAGTACACAAATCATTTAAAAGTACATTTCAGGGACAAGTGAGAATTTAAATGTAGACATTTTTTTTGCATACTAAATGCTAAAAGTCAAACAAATGAGTCACGGTGGTCCCACACACACACACACACACACACACACAAATACATGAATTATTATTGAGACCAGTCTGCTTCCATATCTTGCACCTGATTACAGTGTGTGTGAGTGCGTGTCTGCCATACAGAAGCAAGTGTAATCTCCTATATGGTCCAAGCAGGTGGAGTGATTTTTGCAGGGGTTGGAGCCACATTTGTTAATGTTCCACTCACAGCGTGGACCAGTGTAACCCGGAGCACAGTTACAGGTGAATGAGCCCTCTATGTTCTTACAAGAGCCACCGTGCTCACACGGGTTTGGCCCTGGGGTGTCAAAAAAGAGGGTTAGAAAGTTTCAGGCAAGATATGAAATGCATAAAACACTGTAATGTGTGTGCAGGGAAAGATGAATAGAAATACAGAGACACACTGAGAAACACAGACAGACAAAAGTCCTGCAAACTGTCTCACCGATGACACACTCGTCGATATCCTCGGCACACGTGCTGCCCTCGTATCCTGAGGGGCAGATACAGATGAACTTGCCATTGACGGGGTTCGTGTCACATTGAGCTCCCATCTTGCACGGGTTACGGGTGCAGGCATCATCAATGTGACACAGCAAACCTTGAACACAGAAACAATCACTACTGATACTACAACTGACCTGAGATAGTTTTATAGTCTTCTACTTTGGACAACAATCAAATGATAATAAAAATGCATTATTTTAGAGATGCATCATTTCACTGTAAAAACTTGTTGTGTACGTTGTTGAGATTTGGTGTAAGAGTCATTTGTGCTCATGACTGAAGTGATCAAGTGTCTTAAGAGTCATTTTTAGGTCATGTGGTTGTTTTTACTGACCAGTCTTGCCGGGAGGGCAGCTGCAAACGAAGGAAGCCACGCGGTCGATGCAAGTGGAGCCGGTGATACAGGGCGCATCTGCGCAGTCATCAATGTTTTCAGAGCAGTCAGGGCCGCTCCAGCCGTTCACACATACACAGTTGTAGCCGTTGCGTATGGAATGCCAGACGGGTCACAATTCGCCATTAACCAGACGCCTGGTGTACTACAAGACGCCGTATTTTACGGCGTTTTTTCGTCTAAAACGCTGTAAAATACAGCGTTTTCTGCACACCAGGCGTCTGGTTAATGGCAAATTGTAACCCGTTTGGCGTTCCATAGTTGCGCGTGTTACTGCACGTGCCTCCATTCTGACAGGTGCTGGGCTGCAGTCTGCATTCATCCACGTCATCGGTGCAAAACTGACCTGGAAAAGAAAGCTTCACAATTTAAGTAGGACATTTTGAAGGAGGTTTAAAAAGAGGTTTCCACTAGCATAGAGAAGCCTGAATCATTTTAGGGAATTGTTCAAACTGGTTTAAAAACAATTCACCAATTTCAGCTTGTCAAATTTTGCTTTGAATCAGTGAATAATTGTTTGAATCAAAAAAGAAAAGAAGAGAATTGGTTCCAAAATTATTTGTTCATGAATCTGCTTGACTGCATGATTTAAGCCAAAAATCTAATTTCCTGAATATTCTGTCATATAGTTTTAAGTCATGCGAATATTTTAAACAGTAAATTAAGATATTATTTTTATATTGTTAAAATATAAAAATGAAAGAATTCAGTCAAATGTTTTACTATTACAATAATAGTGCTGTAGTATTATAATTTATTATTATTATTAATAATAATAATAATAATAATAATAATTACATTTTTCAAACAATACTAAAACTTTGTTTTTTGCTTTTAAACGTTAAACCATAGAGCTTTTATTTTTATTATTTTATTTATTTTTTAATTATTAAAATGATTGGTTTGTCAATCAATGTCTGTGAGGCATTTCCACTAATGGAAAGGGAAAAGATGGAGCAAACGCATAACAACACACACACACACACACACACACACACACACACACACATAGTATATAAAGCCGTTTTCATACCAGTCCATTCAGGTGGCAGAGGTAGAGAGAGACTGATGCTGAGATCAGACACACTGATGCTGGACAATAAACTGTTTCCTTTGTACCAGGAGAGAGTCACATGACCCACATTCACCACTGAACACACCAATGAACAATTCTGCTGTGATGAAGATGATGATGAAGGATCTTGTAAAGGGTCACTGCTGATAACAGGAACAGGCAGTTGAGCTGTAATAACAATGTTATGTCATTAAGAATATGTAGGGAATAAGTTACACCAGACTGGTTTTTTTTTTAAGTGCCTTTCTAGGGTTAGTTCATTTTTGCATGTTTCTGGAGTTAGACATCAGTGTAGTTATTAATGGTAGATTGATTTCATGCCTGTGGATCCAACAATATTTGTGGTTGACCCTAATAAAAAACTAAAATAAATTAAGGAATGGCCTCATTTTAGTGTTTTACACTCATCTTATAATGTGCTTTGTATTTGTAAGTGATATACCTCATCCATGGAAAAAAGTACTTTATATATTATATTAAACTCTGTACATTAAAACTTGCTGAAATATGAAAGGGACTCATTTATCATTGTTTATGGCTCATTTAATAATGACTCAAACAATATCAAAATATATTTGTACATTTTTTGAAGGAGATGTGAGTAGTGTCTGTGCAAAACTTATTCCCACATTGCTATGGGTAATTTAGCTTAACTTTATATTATAAATTAATAAAATTAAGTATTTGGTGAAGCTACTTTAGGGATAGTATTAATTAAGGGCAGACGACAAACACGCTGAACTTGTAATAGTTTGTGAAAAGAAGCCTTGAGAACATCAGATTTTAAAACAAACATTAGTGTTATGTTTTCATGTATTTGCATTTGTTCTTGAAAGCTGTGGCAGTGACAGAAGCCCATCAAGTGTTTTTTAACTGGAACTCATATGATAATAGTTACATCACTGGCCTAACTGTAAAAGAGAGCAAACAAGCCTGAGCTTTACTACTCACCATAGACAGTAACACGGAATCTGTGTGTGGTCTCTTTTGAGGCTTTTATGGTTATTTGATAGAGTCCAGAGTCTGTGTTTCTGGTGTTCATGATGGTCAGAGATCCAGTCTGAGGATCCAGCTTCAGTCTGTCCCTGAATCCCACACCATCACCATGAGATGTGAAGATTTCATCCTCTTTATTAATATGAGCTATTAATGTAAGAGGCTCTGCACGTCCAAATTTCCACAAAATTCGATCTTCTTTCTGTATTTCAGTAAGACCAGATTCTAAAGTGACAGAACCTCCCTCCGTCACTGACACTGACTTCACTGCATCTGGATCAGCAAACACACCTGAAGAACAGAGACAGTTTCTCATTTACACATTGAACTTGTTATTAAAGTAAAATAAATATCTCAGTGCTGGTTTAATTAAGCTTTAAGCTTGTTTCAGTTTTGAGATTATTGAAAACTTTGGAAATTCTTGGTTTTGACATTAATGTGAGACTTCGAGGACTGCAGTTTTAGTGAGTATTTGAGTTGATTTGAGTCTAGTTCTGCTCATAAACCTGTGTTAGATGGATCTTTAGACACTTTTGCATAATTTGCACTGTTTTCACAATTTTCCAACTCCAAACTGATAAAAAAAGTTGTATGTTTTCTTTTACACAATCATTGTTTCAATACAAGATTGTGACATTCAATCATCAAAACAACAAAATATTGTAGATGTTACAAGATGTAACATTTGATATTCACCGGGGTGAGATATAACATTATGCAACTAGGATTATGAAAAGAAGAAGAAAAAAAGGATTGTGAAAGCTTTTTATTAACAGTTTTTTTTTGTCAAAATGCTTACAGACAGTTTTTGAAAATATGGCTCCATTTCTTAAAACTCTACACACAAAACCACAAAACACACACACAACATGCAAAACGTCACACACATCTTGCAAAAAGCAAACACTTCTTTCAAAACTATTTTAACTCTTCTAAAAATGGTATGTTTGTATAAAGAAATTAGCCACTCATATGTGCATATGCACATATACACTGTATATACAGTATGTACAACTGATGAATTTTACACAGTTATGCAACTGAACTGAATCAATACTGAACTGATTTGAGCTGTATAATGACACTATTGATTTGTTAGAGCTGCTTTACAGAAAATTTTGAATTTGATACTATTGTGAAGCTGCTGTGAATCAATCTATATTGTATACAAAGTTTTAGAAATAAAGTTGACTTTCTGACTTGGCTTGTATGCATATTCAGTGTATATATATATATATATATACATATGTACTGTACACACACACACACACACACACACACACACACACACACATAGTATATAAAGCCGTTTTCATACCAGTCCATTCTGGTGGGCACTGGTGGGTAAGTGTTCACTCCATCCATGCATGTGGCTCCATTCTGACAGCGGTGATTCGGACAATCATCAATGTTCACCTCACAGTTTGTTCCATTGAAACCTGATTACAGGAAAAATAAAGCTTTTTATCATGCAGCCCTATGGGTTTCCATAATTGTTTCTGTCCAAGCATTCCTGTTTATCACTGTGAAGCTGCTCTTAGACAATCTGTACTGTACATCGTGTATTAAATAAAGGTGACTTGACTTGAATTTTATTTAACATCCTGTTTGAAATCGGAAATAAAAACCACATGGTATAAAAAACAAGCAGACAAGTCATCGGAACTGGATTGTAATGTTAGACAGACATAAATTTATAGTCAATGTTTTTAATAGCATCACTGATCAATTTGTCGCAAAGGTAAGCAAGAAATATGAATCCTACAAAAGACTAGATAAAAGACTGGATGCTGTTTTTCTTCATTGTTCCTACTGCCTGTATTGCCTTTGTATTCTTTACTGAGTTTTTGTGTTATGCTTTTTGCTTTAGTTGTTAGCCCATTGGTTTTGTGAATATTGGAGTGTTTATTTGATTGTTTTGTTTTCCTTTTGGGTAATTTGTGACCAAGTCGGTTGATGCAATGTACTATCAGTGATTTACGGGGGTGGTTAGTTAAAGGGTTAGTTCACCCCAAAATGAAAATTCTGTCATTAATTACTCACCCTCATGTCGTTCCAAACCCGTAAGACCTTTGTTCATCTTCGGAACACAAATTAAGATATTTTTGATGAAATGTGAGAGCTCTCAGACCCTGCATAGACAGCAACGCAACTGTAGTGTTCCCAGGTCCAGAAACGTAGTAAGGACATCATTAAAACAGTCCATATGACATCAGTGGCTCATCTTCAGTTTTGCGAAGCTATGAGAATACTTTTTGAGTGCAAAGAAAACAAAAATAACAATTTATTTAACAATTGTTCTCCCCGAGTTACGTCTTCCGCCATTTTGGAGAGTACCCAAGAGTGTAATCGACATAATCAGCGTTGTTTACGTTCGGAGGAGAAAGCTTGCGCATGAACGTAATCTGCATAATCAGCGTTGTTTATGCTTAGGGGAAAGCGTGCCTATGTGTTGTGATACTCTAAAATGGCGTAAGACGTAACTTGGGAGAAGAATTTTGTTTTCTTTGCGCTCAAAAAGTATTCTCGTAGCTTCGCAAAACTGAAGTTGAGCCACTGATGTCACATGGACTGTTTTACCGATGTCCTTGCTACGTTTCTGGACCTGGGAACACTACAGTTG